CTCCTGGTGCCCTGGTGTGTGGTAGAGAAGAACACTGCTCCATTGGGTTTTGGTTTCCGAAGTCGATCACCAGTTTTCTCTCCGGGTGGACCAACCTTCAGTCTTTGGGTTAGTACTGAGCACCTTAGCCATTTGCAAGACCCAGGGACTCCCCTCTAAAGCACCAATCAAGGTGCGTTTCCCCCATTGAGAAATGAATAAATAATTCCTAGTTGACCTTACATGGTTATTTTGAAAATGTCTTGAGGTAGAAAAAAATAATAACAACCTCATCGATGCAGCAGCGAGGATTTTTAATAAGGACGTTAGGGCCACAAAAATCATATTCCCAACAACTCTGATCAAGATACAATATCTTTACCTGAGTATTGGCTAATACTTTATCTGAGGATTAGCCCATTTAGTATTCTGGTGGTGCTTGGGTGCTGAATCACAGAGACCCCGTGTCCAGCAGAATGAAACGCTATCGGGGCCTGCACCATCCTCACCATTGTTATGCCTGAGCCCATTGTTGCAGCCACTGGGTCAATCCATCTCGTGGAGGGCCTTCCCCTTTTGTCGCTCCCCTTCATTTGACCAACTATGAGCTCCTTTTCTGGGGACCGATGTCTCCTGATAACACATCCAAAGCACAAGCATGTAGGACAAAGTTTCCCCATCCTTACTTCTAAGGAGCATTCTGGCTGAACTTCTTCCAAAACAGATGTTTGTTCTTCTGGTGCTTTCTTGAAACCGAGAGCACGTGTTATTTCAATATCCTTCAAATGCCGTCAATTCTTCTTATTCAGTATCCAACTTTCCCATGCATATGAAGTGCCAAAACGCCATGGCTTAGGTCAGGTGCACTTTACTCCTGAGGCAACATCCTTGGTCTTTGATACTTTGAAGAGATCTCGTGCACCAGATTTACCCGATGCAATGAGTCAGTTAATTTCTTGACTGCTACGTCTGTGAGCATTGATTGTGGATCCGAGCAAGATAAGATCCTCGACGAGGTCCATCTGTTCTCTGTTTATCATGATGTTATCTCATGTTCCAGTTGTGAGGATTTTAGTTTTCCTTCCGTTGGGTTGTAATCCCTACTGAAGATTGCGGTCCATAATCTTCACCAGCAGGTGCTTCAAGTCCTCTTCTCTTTCCACAAGCATGGTTTTGTAATCTGTATATTGTTAATCAATGACTGTTAATAAAGCTTCCTCCATTCGTGATGCCTAGTTCTTCCTCGTATAGCTTAGCTTCTCTGATTATTTGTTGATGGACCGAGTATGGTGAGAGGATACCAGCCTGAAACACACCTTTCCTAAATTAAATCAGGCAGTATTCCCGCGTTCTGGTTGAGTGGCTACCCCTTGGTCCATGTGTTGGTTCTGCTTGAGCATAATGAAGTGCTTTGGAATTCTCATTCTTGTTACTACTGTAAAGGTCAGTCCATATCGGGCTTTTAACCTTAATCCACACATTTGAACTCTATTCTCCAAAAGTATACAGTCTTCGCAGCTTTACAATAATTATAGTCAGTAAACTACCTTGATTTTTCTAATGTACTTAGAGAACCCTCTTAAAAGTTCATTTGGAAGCCCACCCAGGATTTCTTAAGGTTTTCATAAAATTTAGGCATCATCTAAAAATGCTTTTCTTACTCCAAAAAATAGTTTCATGAAACTTACTCATGAAATAGTTTCAGGGAGGCCGTATGTTACAATGGGAAAAACCTTAGGTTTTTGAGTTAGTTCTTGGTATTTTAGATAAATTACTTAATCTCCCTTTATCAGTGAAATGTAAATAATCTAATCTACCCCCAATGACTGGTGGAAAACCAACATTAAGTATAGACGCAGAATACAGCACATGGAGATGGAAGAAATCAGTGCTCAGTGAGTGTGACTATAGTCAACCATCTCACTAGGTGGATGCTATTACCTCTTGGGGGCGAGTTTCAGGTGAGGCTTCTTCTTTGAGCTTTTCCATACTTTCTAAATTTTCTTTGATGACCATATTTCATAATCAGGGAATGAGATTTACATTAAAAGAGCACTTTCTATGTGTCTACATCTTAGCCATTTTCTCAGCACAGGTGAGTTCAGACATCCCATATAACATGGAGACCCCTCTTTGTGTGACACAGGCCAGGACTGTGCAGGTGTCTTGGTTGGTTGGGGTGGAGTGGAGAAGCTTAAGATAGGCAAATGGAAGAATTCGTCAAGGAACATGTTCTAGGTCCAGGGTTGGCAAACTGTGGTTCAAGAGCCATGTTTGGCAATTTAGGTATGTACATGTGGTTCTGAAGTAAAATTGAAAATGAAAATAAAGCGATCATAGTTTCACTTATAACATTTTAAAGGCTATTATTCAGATAATGGTGGTTACGTGTGTTGGTAAAAATATATTTCTGGCTCTCAATTTTTAAATTGCCGTGAGGAACAGGATTGGCTCTTCTGTCTCAAAAGTTTGCCAACCCCTGCTCTAGGCAAAGGGGGAGAGTTCAGACATATATTGTTCTTATAGCAGTATAGCAGACCTGCTGCCAGGAGTTCATTCTGCTCCTATTGGCCTTATAGGCACCCTGGTGGAGTAGCAGGTTACACATTAGGCTGCTAACCACAAGGCCAGCAGTTTGAATCCACCAGCCACTCTGAGGCTTTCTACTCCCTTAAAGAGTTATACGGAAGTCCACACGGGCAGCTCTCCCCTACCCTACAGAGTTTCTATGAGTTGAAATCGATTTCATGGCACCGAGTTTGTTTTTGCAAACTGCCCCACAGAGCTTCCAAGCCTGTCATCTCTGCAGAAGCAGTCTGTCACATCTTGCTCTCAAAGACCCCCAGACACTTTTAACCACTGTCACTCTGATAGCAGTTGGTAAGAATAATTTTTTAAAATCACATTTAATACAGATACGGAGCACTGAGAGCATAGAAAAGTGAACAGGAGAGGCGCCCGATTCCTCTCTCAGGGGACTCCCACCCCTGAAGGTGGGAGTGGCGACTGGAGTCACTTCTGAAGAAGAGAAACCCCTTACTTTCCTGGGGCTCTGGGGAGAGTGTTTTCTCTGCAACGGCGACCTGGCTGACCCATCCCTTGGCGGGTGAACAGTTTGGCACCCAGGATGAATTCCAGGCCTTTCGGTCCTGAATTGTGCCTCAGAGGGCAATGAAAAAGTGGACAGTAACGTGGCTACTGAAAGGAGGAAAAAAATAAGCCTTTGAGACTAATGGATGGGGAATTCTGGGAGTATACAGAAAAGGGAGGTGAGGAGATGGGAATATAGCCTGTGAGCTATATTCACCTTTTTTGAAAATGGGTGGGTCTCCTTTATCCGCTTTGCCCAAGAATCCAGGCACACAGGGCTGAAAGTACCAGGGAGATCAATGTAGAAACTACCTCCTGCCTGAATCATACGTTTAAAATAGGGAATAAAAGCACTCCACGCCTGCTGCTCTTTGAAATGACTTTGGAGTAAGATTCACTTAGAATCATAGACTCTGCACACATGAACGGTGTGTTTGTCCTGTAAGAAACAACCCAAAAGTGAAGCCCAAAAAATGTAAGTGACTTTTGTCAAAGCCGCACACAGTGGCTTTTCCTGCCCCCCCACCCCCCACCCAAATCCGCCCAGGCTAGCCCAGCACTGAGGGCAGAAGGCGCCTTCAGCCTCCTCCATTCTTATTGGGTTAACTTCCTAGGACAGCCTCCTTACCACAGACGTGGGCTTCGCTTAGAGCGGATGGCTGCACCTTCTTGATCGCCGCTTTCCTCCTTCGCAGATGGAAGATGTGGACGAGGTGACCTGGCATAGCGATGTTGCATTCCCTGAAGAATGAACCAACAGCCCATCAACTCTCTTCATTTGACTTCCCAGCCCTGTGGAGCTACGTTTTAAAACAAACCAACCAACACCCCCATCATCTGCATCACCCGTTTATGTGATGGAAGTGGAATTTTGCAGACCTATTGATTAAAAAGAACCTGGAGGTGGGAACACCGCAGTTTGTGTTTTAATAAGCCTTGGGGTGAGGGAGGGGGTTCTGATGGAGCTTACGTTTGAGAACCATTGCTTTAAATGCTTCTCTTACACACACACACACACACACACACACACACACACACAGTAACTTTTCTCTGTGGCTGTTATCCACCACCACCCCAGGCCCCCACTCTTGCCGGCTTTCTCCTGAAACAGCTCCTCCACCCAGGGATGATGAATGGAGGTCAGTGCGCTGTCAACAGAGCAGGACCCTGCAAACCATCCCGCCCAGCACAGGGGGCGGGAGACACACAGGCATCTCCTGGGTTTTTAGGAGCGGGTTTCCCCGATCATTTTCTCCACTGACGCTGCCCACCCCACTCTGTGGGGGTACTTTTAAGAGCAGCCAGTTTGCTTTTAGTTATTTATCCAATTGTTTGCAGAATGAAGGAGGCGGGTATCGGATAAGGCTTGTAAAGGGGAGGTGAAGGACAGCGTTGCAGAGAAAGGGTTGGAAGCGAGGCTACAGAAAAAGTGGGGGTCCAAAGGAGCTGGTGCGTGTGAGAGACACTGCTTCAGGTCAGGGGTTGGGGTGTCGGTACGAGGGACCCAGGCGCCGCAGAAAGTGGGCCTCCAGAGCGAAGCTGCTCCCGAGTTTGGGGATGACTTTCTGCCCCATCAGCTTCCTTTCCAAGGCTTTTTTCTGTGCTCCACTTTGCTCCTCCCCCTGCTCCCCGCCTCCTCGGTTCCCTCCCTCCTTCCTCCTCCTCCTCCTCCTCCCGCCGCGAGGGGAGGCTCCTAGGCTGGAGAGGCAAAAGAAGGAATTGTTTGCGAGTTCAGTCATCCAAAAAAGCTTCTTCCATATGGAGGGACCGGGCGCGCTGGGCGCGGCGTCCCCGGACTTGTCCTCCTCCTGCTGCTGCTGCTGCCGCCGCCCGGACCCCAGTTCCTTGCCGCGGGGACCCTGAGCCTGGGCCTGCCGGTGTCCGCCGGCCCGCGAGCGCACGCGCGCACACACGCACGCACACCCCACACTCACTCCCACAGGCGCGCACACACTCACACTCGAGCACACGCGCTCTCGCCCTGGCTGGCAACTTCTCGGTCCCAGGCTCCATTGTTGCTCCTTCTGCGGCCGCTGTCCTAAGCGGGGTGTCCCCGGCTGTCCCCGTGCGGGCTGCGTGTCCCCGCGGCGCGGCGCTCCGGGAGCGCACTGCCCTGGCCCCCGGACCCGCGTCGGCCCTTCCCCGGCGCCGGCCGCCGCCGAGGTGAGTCCCTCTGGCTGCAGTGTGTTTTCTTTTCTCCAAAAGTTGTGTTTCGGTGACGGTTTGGGGAGGGGAGGAGGGCGGAGGCGATGCCGAGGAAGCGCCGGGCCGGTGGCTGCGGGGGACCCGCCGGCGGCGGGAGCCCTCCCGGGGCTGGAGGCTGAGGCCCAGACGGGGCGCGCCAGCCGCCGGGGCCCGAGCAGTTGGGGCGAGGAGGGCGCCCGGGGTTCCCCCGGGTGGCTGCCTTCCACGAGCCGTGCCCCCACCCCCGGCCCAGGCGCTCCCGGGTCCTTTGCGGCGTCCAAGTTTGGCGGAGTCGTGGTCACTTCGCCCGCGCGCTCCCCGGAAGGCTCTCCGTGGGCGAAGGGCCCGGCGACTTCCCCGAGGGGCCTCGGCGGTGGACACCGTGCCGCGGCTGCCGGCGCCAGGTGGCGGGGAGAAGGCCGCCGGGCGTTGGGCTCTTGGGTCGGGATGGTTTGTCCTAGCAAGCGTCTCTGGCTGGAGGGCAGGGTAAGGGGACCTGGGGCTGAGAGTCCAGAGTGACTCTGGGGTTGGGGCAGTGAGAGAGGGGGTGTGCGCGCGTGAATTGTGAGTGTGAGTGTGTGCACGCGCGCTGGAGCAGCATCCTCCTGGAGTTGTGCCTGCGTGTGTGTAGGGTGTGTGTGTGGATAAACGTCGGGGGGCAAGTGGGAAGGGGCAGCCGAGAAGAACAAGGAACCCAGGGCAATCTTTCGGCGGGGTGGGGTAGGCGGGTGGGGTGGTTTGAAAGGCTTTCCAGATGATGGAAGGCTTTTGAGAGGTAAATAGTGAAGTCAGACCTGGTGTGCCTAAGGTTAATGTGCCCTGGGAAAGGGTTTTGTTTCCTACATCTGATTTGGGGAAGATGGGGAGATGTGGTGGCAGTGGCAGAGTTACTTGAAAAGGTTGTTGCCTTCCCTACAGAGCTGTGGCAGTGCAGCTAAGAATACTCAAACCGCACACCAGCCATCCCAAACGGGCACTTTCTGGGTGTGGTGGGGTGTTCTGCTGCTCCCCTCAGCCCTTCTTAGCAAGTTCAAATGGGTTCATAGACAGTGTTGACCCAGAGTTACCTCCTTGAGTGGACTGAGTGGAAAGATATTTTGGCGGCAGGCCTGTGTGCCCCCTCCAGGTGTTCTCTGCCCACACACATCTGTCACATAGTTCTTTGTTGCCCAGAACCTGGCAAACATGAGCTATCTAATGAGGATAGTTTTTTTTTTAATTTAATTCTTGAATGTGCAAACATTTCTGATTTATTTGGTGACTCGACCCTTAACAGGCAGCCCAGCTCTGTGACGGGATTTTCATCCCTCTGGTTACAGCCAGTAAATCACTCTCGGTTTTTTAAGGGCAGCATGGAAAATATTAAAGCATGGGCCTGTCTGACTGAGGTGGGGGCTGGGGCGGCCCATCTGGGTGACCCGTTTTCTGAACTTCAAGTGGATCTGAGGCAAGAGGTTGGCCATTTTGAGGTGTGTAACAGGTTTCCCAGGAATGTTTCTGAGGTCTTATAATTGGCACTTCTTAATGGTCTTGTAATTGAAACCCAGAAGGTTCCCCATGGCAATTCTGAAGCACCTTGGGGTCAGTGGGATGGAGGGGAGGTGGAAATTGCAACGGAGTGATTTCAGCCAGATGAGTTTGGGGAGGGAGCGATGGAAAGTAAAAATGAAAGAAGAGTTGCCTGTTTGTGACAGACTGTCAGCACGACCTGATCGCATATTAAGTTATTTAAAGTTTGGCCCATCAGGAAGCTGGAGGCTGTCTATATATATGAAGTCTAAGGATGGAAACTTTAGACACTTTCCCTTTTTCAAGATCTCACCAAAGTGTAATGCTACGAGAGACCTGGGAAGAAATTTGTTTGGGGCTTTACCGGGGAGAAGGTGCTGACAGAAGGCCTTCAGGGTTATTGGTTCCTTGACAACTGTGGGGGTAGGGGCGGGATAAAAAGCCGGGAGTAACTTTCTTAGCTGTTGATTGGCTGGCCAACTGTTGGTAAGAAGTGTGATCCATGTTTCTTTGGGTCCTCCAGAAGTATCCCAAGATGTTCGTTCCTTTGAAGTGCTTTTTCAAGTGTTTGGAAGCGAAGCGCTCTTCAGCAACTGATCTGTGATTTCCATGACCCAAGAATGAATAGGAGATTTTACTCATGAAACACTTCAGTTGACTTCCCCATGAACCCCACGGAGTTTAAGAAAGGAGGGCGAGAGGGGAGCCTGTTGGGCAGTGTTCCACAAGGTCCTAGGGGGTCTGAATTTAAATTTGGGCAAAGTCACTGATAATGGTGAATGAATCAAGCCTTTATTTCTCAATGTCTTTCAAACGACTGCTGAGCAAGACTCAAATGCACTTGATAATTGTGTAGCCTCTGAATTAGAAGGTATTAACCTAGCACCCAAAGATAAAAACATTGGGACTTGGCTTTCTTTCCTCCAAATCCCTGGTCCCTTGTTCTCTGGGGAAAATGGGGAAAGGGAAGGGAATTGAAATTGAGCAGGGAGTAGGGGTGGGGGGTGGGGGAATAAAGGTGAAACTGGGTGGAGGAGAGAACAGAGAAAGTGATGTCCTACATTTGGAAACATTTATTTGTTTATTTTAGCATAGAAAGGCTTTTGACCAGGTTCAGCTATGACCTACAAAGTGAAACCAGAACAGGGCCACATTTTTTCAAATCTGCCTAGTCCAGAGTAGGAAAAATTCTGGAATAGGAGATGCAGAAGAATCATAGTGAGTACTTTTAGGAGCTTGATATGATGTAGGATTCTTGCCAGGACTCTAGAGAGCAACGCCCTATCAAACAGCACAGTCCACCGGCCATCTTTGAGCTGGGCACCACAGTTTTTGACTCAGTGGGTCAAGAGATTTGGTTTTTATACAATAGACATGTGGCCTTTGTTTTTCAAAATGGAAACAACGTTTCCAGCAGATTGACCCGAGCTTTTCCCCACTCTATTTAGTGTTCTATCCACCCACATTTAAAAAAATCGGGTCTGCCCTGGTATCTCTTCATTGGCCACGGCTGAACCAGGCCTCATGAATTCAAAGCCCAGAGCCTAAGGAAGCTCGTGTCATTTCCCCACTTTCATCTAGCAAACACTTACAAGCTTCAGATACACTTTCAGGAAAAAACATTTTCTTCATCAAGAAATGGCACTCCTCCCATTTTTATCTGTTATGCTAGCATCCACTAACAATAAGCAAAATGGTTTTTTAAATTACTATAATTTTATACTATAACTTTTTTTTTCATTCATTACATACATACTTTTTACGCAGTTATGATCATGGTATAGAATCTTTTGTAGTATCTCTAGAAACCTCTCTGACCCAAAACTCACAGAGAACAGATTGGTCCAACCACAAATGCTCTTACTTTTAATGCCTTTTATTTAATACCTTATAGTAATAAGCCATTTTGCTGTTGTGGGAGTGACCCAAGACCTAAAAATGTCCCACAAAGACAACCTTACACATATAATATATTTCATAATTTACAATGGTGAATCAACTATTTGGGGTCAAGGGGGTGGGAAAGGGTGTTTGTTTTTAACCTAGAGATTCATGTTTACAGAAAAAAGCCCTCCAGAAATGAGATTGGGCTCCTTGGAACTCTAAGGGTTGCTAATGGACAGAGAGGCGGGGAGGAAGTTAAGCCTCAAAGCTCCATCTCAGATGGCACTGCCCTTAGGGTTAGGGAAGTTGGGTTGATGCCCTGGCTCTGCCTGCCAGCCTCATTCACACTGACTCAAACCCCTGACCTACTGAGCCCCTGCAGTCTCCCCTGCCACAGAGGGAGATGCCTTCCTTCCCCAAGCTTGCCCACAAAATACTCAACTAGCTGCCGAGATTTCCTTTTCAGTCATTTACGCTACCTTTTCCGTTCCTGTAACCCTTGGTTGCTGACACCTGGCTGGACTCCCTGCAGACCACCTCTCACCACCCCATCCATCCTCTGTCAGTCTCAGAGCGTAACCAAGTTACCACTCAGCTTAAAAGTGGTTCTCCGGGCCAAGTCCAGCCTTCCTAGCACTCCCATATGTGGCCCTGTCCTATGGCATCGGAGTCTTACCTCACATGGGTCACCCAGCCCGACCCACTGATTTTTGATGACATCCATTCCTTGCTTTGCAGCCTTATCCCATTCCCATTAAGCCTACTTAGCAATGCACGAGAGCTGCTTATGAGGTTGTTCTTGAGAAACAGTCGCTGCCTACTCATGAAAATGGGACTGCTGAACTCCAAGGTTATGGTTTTGTACCTGACAGACAGACTTTGCAAAGGCCATCATTGTCCCTAATCCAGTGATCACCCCATTCTAGCCAGGAACGGGGGCGGGAGGGGGGGAGCTGAGGACACAGGGGTTAAGTACCTTGCCCCTAACTAAAGGGTCGGTGGCTCCCACACACCAACCGGAGCCATGAGGGGCAGTTCCCCCATCTTACAGATCACTAAAAGTCAGAGTTGGCGCCATGGCCCGACTTTGTTGTCTTTCTTTGTGGTTCTGTGGCATTACGGAGCCAGGGCGGTACCATGCTGAAGCACTCCACTGCACATCCTGAATACCGCTGACTCCTCCAGCAGTTCTGCTAGAGAAAGACCTGGGGATTTGCTCCTCGAGAGATGACAGCCTGGGATGCCCCACAGAACCCAACAGCACCGTGACTTTAGCAAAGAGTTAAGTGCTTGACCACGAACTGTGAGGTTGGTGGTTCAAACCCCACGCAGAGGCATCTGGGAAGACAGCCATTTCAAAGGGCCTGGCCTTGAAAACCCAGTGGGGCCTTTCTACTCTGTATACCTGGCTTAACCGAGCATCCAACAGACTTGACCTCAAGGAATGACAAGTGACAGGGGGGGGGG